ACCAGCACTTCCCAGCTCCGGAGGGGCGGGGCGCTGTGAAGCTAACAGTCCCCCAGGTCCTGCAGCTCCCTGACATCAGCTTTGCTGATGCTCCTGTTACCCCAGGACCCCACAGAATCTGCAGAAGGGACCCCGGCATCAGCAACTGCAGCGCCCACGCCTGGAGTATGGGAAGAAAAATGACCCCAATCTGGTCAGGGACAAAAAGAAGGCCTTTTTGCGTGACGCAATTCACAATCTCCTTTTGGGAAGAAACCAGCTTCCTAGACAAATGCGATTTCTGTTAAAATTTTTATAGAGCTAAGACCTGGTCTGGGCTATTAGTTAGCTATCCACCCACATGGAGACTGTCTGCTGGCAGAGGTCATTAACGGGGTATTCTTTTCTGTTGGTGTTCACTCTAATGATGATGATCTAACCACTTTTTTTTTTTAATCCCTACAAAGATCTCCACCAAGAGAGGTCTTTGAGTGGGCCTGCTTTGACTTTTGCAACAAGCCAGAAAACGAAACTTTGGAAAACACACACATTCATGACCAAGATGGAGGCAGCTCCAGCTGGACCCACCCTTTTCTGTCCCAGGTACCCCCCCAGCAGGCCTGGGAGCCGTCCTCTGGGTCTGACGGACTCTCTCCTTGACCAAACTTGAGTCAGGCTCCTCTAAGCCTTCATCCTTGGGCTTATCCTGTCCGGTCTTCAGCCTGCCTAGCCCAGCTGTACCCCAATCACTAAGTCATCCCCCACCATTGATATCTGACCCAGTTCCTCGTCTCCCACCCTTGATGTGTAAGTCCTTGGCCTGTCATTAGCAAGAATCCCCCAACCCTTGCCATCTGTGCTTAGTAATTTTCCGCCCACTGACCCCCTCTGCTCCTTGGTGATAAATGGCCAGCTGTCCTTGTCTTACTCGGAGTTGAGCCCCGTCTCTCCCGTATTTCGATAGCCGTGACTTCTGCGAAGTCCTGAGTATCTTCCTTCTGTTATAACAAGTGTCAGAACCATTTGTTCTCTAACGAGGCCTCTGACACACAGGTCTCAGTATAACCCTGTCTAGGAAATGCGGCCCATCCTCTGAGTAGGGGTTCCGAAGGGCCGGCGCCATTCCCCTAGGGCTTGCTGGCCAGTTACTCCTGCAGGGGTGGCCCTGGTGAAACTTCAGGGGACTGGGGAGCAGCCCCTACAGTTGTGAAAGCTTTGAGTTTAAATGAAGGCGTGAGGGTTAGCTCTCTCCTGCTGCTGCTCTGGTCAGGTCAGGGCTGAGGACTCCTTTGGGAGGCCATAGTCCCGGGGAGTTGGGCCCTGGAATGTCACTCTAAGAGGGAACTGCCCAGCAAAGGAATGAGTGGAGCTGGCCCTTCCCTCTTCCCAGACCCTTGCAGGAAACCTGGGAGAAAGTGACATGTCCAAAAGAGAATCTGCTGTTTTGAGTCCGGCTGCTCCTGTTAAGCTGCGTGTGTGTAGCCTGATTTCATCTCCCCACAACGCTGCCCTCCGAGGTCTGTCCACCCTCTCCCCTTGCATCCTTGTCCAGCAGCCAGGGCCCTGCAGGCCTCCCCAGCGACAAACACCTCCACCAGCGCACCACTGAAGGGAGGAGAGATGCAGCCGGGGGAGGGGTGCGGACGTGACCTAGACCCCACACTCAGAGTGGCCCTGACACACGCCGAGGCCCAGAGGAGCCTTCACCTTGCCTAAGCCCTATAACTGCCGTGGTCCGGGGAGCGGGGCTGAGGCATAAGCTGGCCCACTGAATGACTCACAGGGCGTTCTGAAAAGCAGGCGACAGGTGCATAACATGCTCATTCCAAGAATCATTCAAACCCTTTCTCTGTCCGCCCACTGAGTGCCAGGCCCATCTGATATCCACACGGACAGGGGCTAGAGGACAGATCACTCATTCATTACTCAGCAAACACTCACCAGGTACCGACCCACTTAACCCCAGAGGCCTGGAAAGCCCCCGGGGTGGGGGACGCCATTGTAATTCAGGGACAACCCCAAAACGCAGGCAAGCACAGTAGAATGTGGGTCCATCAACGTGGCCTGTACCCTGGCCTAGGCTGGGGAAAAGTCCCAGACGGTGGAACCAGGAAGTTATAACAATGCCGTTCCTCTGAACTGAGTAATGCAGACCGGAGGGGCAGGGTTTGTTGAACAGTCCAGCCCTGCTGGTCCCACCCTCTGTGTCAATACGAGCCTGGGCCTTATAAAGCGCCAAGAGACCTCCAGCGGGCCATCTCCTCAGCCGCCCCCGCCTGCAGGAGGAACGTGACGTGCGTCTGAAGCCGGCACCATGACGGAACTGGAGACAGCCATGGGCATGATCATCGACGTCTTTGCCCGGTACTCGGGGGCCGAGGGTAACAAGCAGAGCCTGACCAAGGGGGAGCTGAAGGCGCTCATGGAGAAGGAGCTGCCGGGTTTCCTACAGGTGAGGGCGCTGGGCCCTGGGGGACAGGAAGGGGGCCCCACCTGGGGCAGGGCCAGCCCGGTCCCAGAACAGGGGAGGCTCAGGGAAGACCGTGGGGAGGAGGAGGAAGAAGGCGTGGAAGGCAGAAGGGACGAACGGGGTCAGGCCCCAGCTGCCCCGAAGTGGAGGGAAGGAGACAGAGCCGAAGGAAGCGGAGTCCAGCTCGGCCCCTGGGGACTCTGCTGCCGCTTCTGAGCAGAAAGGGGATGTGGCCAGGTCGATACTTGAAACAGAGGCGGAGCCCCAGTTTACTTGTGACCAGGATGCTTTCTCTGTAGGGGCCCCGTGGCAGGTAGTGCGATGGGAACCTGGGCGGTGGGAGGTGGGGCCATCTCTGAGGCTGGGTTGGCTGGTCCCCCGGAAAGGCCCCTCTCCAAGGCTGCTGGCCACAAACATCCCTGCTCCACTGTCTGCTAGCTCGCTGTCCACGCCCCATTCCCAGGTCCCCTGTTGCCAGGTGTTAGTGGGACTGACAGGAATAAGGACAGGAGGAGGTCCCATCCTGACACCTGTCTGCCCAGAGCCATTGGGCCTGGAGCCTCGCCAGGGGGCCTCCCAGGGATGCTAAACAGAGGGCTCGCCCCCCTCT